AACTGAAATTCAGGACTAAGGACTTGGGGGAATAATTTATCGGATATTAATCTTCCCTCTTAGCAGGCAAGGCACAACTTTACTTAGCTATGTCGGCTGCATCTAAAGTTTTCAAATATGGGGTCAAAAATATATCCCTGCCACATATCCCATCCTGCCATTCTGTTTGGTTCATCTTATCACTAAATTTTTTTACAGGAATGTCAAAGATGATAGAGCTTAGAGAGATTTCCATTTTGCAAGTAAAAAAGGGCAGACAGGTGGTGCAACAGCCTGCAGTATGCTCAGAGGGTGCAGCCAGCTGCCTAAATCCCAGCATCAGAGCCTGTCAGGGACCACAGGGCATCTCATGATCAGGCGACCTGCAAAGAACTGGAGGGATGCATGGGCCATGTGTTAGCACCTGAATTCTCCATTTGAGATCAGTGAGTGAGAGAAGGGATGGGGACAGGCACTCTTGAATTGGCTGAAAATAAACAATCTCTTTCTTTGGGAGTTTATAACGATGTGAAATTTACACAGTGGTTAACAGAGGACTTATTTTAACCTACAGAGCAGAAAAACAAGGTACAGCTGCATAATCTAAGTAGAACCTCCAACATTTTAGATTTAGAAGAGGGATGCAGAATCACAGGGTGTTCTTGGGAAGTCCTGATCCACCCTTTTTCTTGGTTTTCAGATGTGCTTTCATTAGGATGTATAGCCTGTCCCCTTACAATTGCAGAACAGCTCCTACCTGGAAAAGGAACATGTTTTAGCCAAGATTTTTCTTTGGATGCTAGGTCTCCATTCTCAGAGACCCGCTACATGTTGGAATGCCATAGAAACTAACTTAACAAAATGAAAAAAAAAAAAAAAAGGAAAATTCCTAAGATACTGAGATGTTTGTGATGTAAATTCAAAACAATTCTTGGCTCTGGCAATTCCTGCCCTTCTACGTAAGGTTATAATTAAAGGCAAACGTAAAGCAAGGTGGAGGTTGCTGGGAGGATAATTTGCTAGAAGGACATTCTGCAATCTTGTTTACTTCATACAACATCCAGGGTCTTTCCAGAAGCTCAACCTCAAAGGTCCCATTGAATAAGACTGACGAGGATGGGTGCTCTGCTTGCATTTTTCCCAGTGCTGGTTTCTTACCAGTCTTATCTGTGGTGTAAAAATGGCCACATCCATCATTGGAGAGAAGTATTTCCTATTTGTCTGAGCAAAAAGTAACTCATATTTTTAAACTGCCAAACTGAAATATCCATTCTGAATCTCACTCAGGCATTCAAGAGGAAGAGGGGCAAGGAGTATTGATATCTTAAGCTCTGTCCTTTAAGAAAATCTAGGGCATGTCATTGTGTTTGTGTTGATTATCTTAGGTTCTGAAATACCCTGCACAGCCCTCAGATGGTCCACTTCATGTTTTTCAACTTTGTACTCATTGTTAAGATTCCTAAGCATAAGGCCAGGCATGGTGGCTCATGCCTGTAGTCCTAGTACTTTGGGAGGCTGAGGCGGGTGATCACCTGAGGTCAGGAGTTTGATACCAGCCTGGCCAATGTGGTGAGACCCTGTCTCTACTAAAATTACAAAAATTAGCCCAACATGGTGAAACTCTATCTCTACTAAAAATACAAAAATTCGCCGGGCGTAATAGCAGGAGCCTATAATCCCAACTACTCAGGAGGCTGAAGCAGGAGAATCACTTGGGGCAGAGGGGGAGCAGGGGCAGAGGTTGCAATAAGCTGAGATTGCTCCGCTTCACTCCAGCCTGGGCAAAAGAGCGAAACCCCCTCTCAAAAAACAAAGATTCCTAGGCATCAACGCTGCTACTCTTTAAATACCACTTCTATTCATCGAAACACTTCCTGACTCCTTGTATCCAAAAAAAAAAAAAAAACAAAAAAGAACAAAACTTACCAGTGCAGTAGCCAACCAAAGAATACTTATATTAAAGGATGATTTAGGTGTTAACAAAAATCTCTTATTTCTCCTATTTGTATATGCAAGGACCAGACTTTTGAGACATTTGCCAGTTTTTTTGTTTGAGTTTTGTTTTTGTGAGATGGGGTCTCTTTCACACAGACAGGAGTGCAGTGGCACAATCGCAGCTCACTGAAGCTTCAACCTCCTGGACTCAAACGATCCTCACTTCAGCCTCCCCAGTAGCTAGGACTACAGGCGAATGCCATCACGACCAGCTCATTTTTGTGTTTTTTGTAGAGAGAGAGTTCCGCCATGTTGTCCAGGCTGGTCTTAAATTCCTGGGCTCAAGCCCTCCTCCTACCTTGGCCTTCCAAAGCGTAGGGATTACAGGCGTGAGCTACAGCACCTGGCCTTTGTCAGTTAAATAGTGCTGCTTCATAGTCACACACACACACACACTCTGCCCCAAATCTCTCTCTCTCTCCAGCTTTCTAAATAGGCATGCGATAGAGAACTCTCCAAAACCCCCTTTAGCATGCAGATATGTTTCCCTTAGAGGGGCTACATTTCGCCCACTACTGAGCATTAGTTTAGTTTAGCGCCCCAGATTACCAGAGCATCGCCCTAAGGAAAAGTCACATCAGACAGGTAAATTTCACAGGGCAGGGGAGTACCAGGGAGAGCAAAGGAGTTTTTCCAGGCAAGTAACTCTCAGCTCAGAAATCCCAGTCAAGCAGAGCATCCTCTGGCTGTCAGGTGCCCCACCCCAGAATCCAGCCCTGAGTCCAGCCCTGGACATGGTATGAAATCTCTGAGCCTGAATCCACCAACCAGAGAGAGCTCTGCATCGGGGGGATGAGAGTGGGGACTCCGTGGCTGAATCCTGCTTCTGCCACGCCTGAAATTAACCTTCCAGTGCTTCAGTGTCTTCCCATTCTCAGCCATAAAATGGGAATTATAAAAGGATTCTTTCATCAGACTATGAGAGAATAAACTAACCTATGTGAAGTACTTGGAAGAGTGCATGGCACATAGAGACTAAATGTTAGCTGTTGTCAGCATCAAGAAGCAATAACTAACCACATGTTCCCAATTCTTTTTTATTATTAGACTTTAAGTTCTGGGGTACATGTGTAGAATGTGCAGGTTTGTTACATAGGTATACACATGCCTTGGTGGTTTGCTGCATCCATCACCCTGTCCTCTACATTAGGTGTTTCTCCTAATGCTATCCCTCCCATATCCCCCCAGCCCCTGCTATCCCTCCCCTAGCCCCTCACCCCCTAACAGACTGCAGTGTGTGATGCTCCCCTCCCTGTGTCCATGTGTTCTCATTGTTCAACGCCCACTTATGAGTGAGAACATGAGGTGTTTGGTTTTCTGTTCTTGTGTCAATTTGCTGAGAATGATGGTTTCCAGCTTCAGCCATGTCCTGCAAAGGACATTAACTCATCCTTTTTTATGACTACATAGTATTCCATGGTGCACATGTTCCCAATTTTTAAACCACACACACCCCAGTGGAAAAAGTTTGAAAGAATATACAATGAAAGTTAATGAACTTCTCTTACTGGTGGAAATTATGGTTGCTTCTTTTAAGTGTTTTTTCCTTACACATTTTCCTAAAAATAGAAAGATTCATGACTATCATCAATAATAAACTTATGGTGCATTTTCAATAGCTAGAACAGTACAAATAGATTATTCATAACATGAAAAATAAATGCTTGGACACAGTGGCTCATGCTGGTAATCCCAGTGCTTTGGGAGGCCAAGTTAGGAAAAATAAATGCTTGAGGGATGGGTTCCCCACTCTCCACGATGTGATTATTACATACTGCATGCTTGTATCAAAACATCTCATGTAGCCCATAAATATATGCACCTACTATGTACCCATAAAAATTAAAAATTTAAATAAAAATCTTGACCTGGGGCTGTAATCTCAACTCTCTGGGAGGCTGAGTCAAGTGAATCACTTGAGGTCAGGAGTTCAAGACCAGCCTGGCCAAAATGGCAAAACCCTGTATCTATTAAAAACACAAAAATTAGCCAGTTGTGATGGTGCACACCTGTAGTCCCAGCTATTTAGGAGGCTGAGGCACAAGAATCACTTGAACCCAGGAGGTGGAGGTTGCAGTGAGCCGACATTATCCCACTGCACTCCAGCCTGGGCAAGAGAGTGAGAGTCTGTCTCAACAAATAAATAAATAAAATAAAATAATAAAAAATTTAGAAGTCAAAGATGTAAAGGGCAAAATTAACTTTCCAAGGACTCTGAATCAAGCAACAGGTTTGAGTGCCAATTATCAGTGGACCTCTCCATGTTGATCTGCCTGTATGTGCCTGTGTGTTGACTATTCTTCAAAATGCAAATGGGAGGGAAGACTGTGGGTTTGCGAGAGGAAAGATTATAGGTACCAGACAGCCCTGAGTTGGAATCTAGACCCCCTCCTTTTCTTCCTGGGTCACTTTGAGCAGGTTGCTGAACATCCCTGCCTCTCAGTTACCTCCTCTCTACAAGGGCCATCAAGCCCGGCATTGTGCGGGATGCTAGAGATGGAATGTCAAGCATCGGAAATAAAGGTTGCAGTCTTGAATAAAACTTGGTGCAGTCAGGAATAAAACTACAGAAAAATAAAAACATCTTTCTCAGAGTCCTACAACCTGTCTCGGTTTGGTACTTTTCTGCTCGGAATTTTCTTGTTCAACTGGGCCTCTGGAATGAAAAGGGTACAATCTGCATTTAGGCTGCCTTCCAGTCCCTTCAACAATTCTCCTTCCTACCTATCAGAGTCCCCTCTGCTGAGATTGTGCTGAAGCCCAGGACCAGCAGGGAGTACCCTTACCAAGACCACCTCCCAGAATAATTTGAGTCAAATATGGCCCCATATTTGAAAATGACAGTTGCCTTAGAAACAAAACTC